GATACATATATATATATATATACACATTACTTGCCCACCGCANATTTTTTTTCTGCCCAGCCGCTGATGCTGCTGCTCAAAGAGGCGCCATCACCACGGCGACGGCCACGGCGAGAACCGCAAGGGAACTGAGACCAACAGCAACAACTGAAGTGTCACCGAGTCCGAATTCTTTCCCTCCGCGATTCCCGTTTCCTCCAACGCTGCTTTTCCCATACGGGTTCGGAGTAACCTCACCACGCATGCTGGTTGGGTTGCGTTTCGGGTTTGTATTGTGCGACCGATACATTGAGGGCGAAGCACCGGGATCGCGACGCATGTTGGTTGGGTTGCGTTCCGGGTTGGTGTTGTGCAACCGATACGTTGAGGGCAAAGCATTGGGCTTAGGATGGGTGCCGCCTGATTCATCATTTGTGTCTGCAGGGTTTGGCTTCTCCGCCAGTGGCGGGGCAACGACTGGTATTGGGAGGGCGCTGGTGTTGAGGAAGGGCGTGCACACGTCGGCATATTTGGGGCACCGGATGCTCCCCCCGCTCCATTTGCCCCCCGACGGCGCAACCATCTCGCCCTCATTGCAGTCGTGCCACGTGTCGTCGCCAAGGAACTGCACCCTCAGATTACCCCCACTGCACTGCGTGTTCACGCACACATCGCCAATCTCTTGGTAATCATAAAGAAGCTCCTCACCATTTACGCACCGTGAGTTCGGGCCAATGAAGCTTCCAACGATCACATAATTCTTGCCGTTGGTACACCCAGTGTCCCGACGCTTCACCATACGCGGACAGTATTCCATCATTTCCAAATCACCTCCAAGTGTGGGGTTATCAAAGTACTGAAACTGCGGTAGAAGGGGTTTTGAGTAAGTCCGTATCTCACACGCCCCCACATAAAGACGATCATGCGTGCAGGTCGGCATTTGTTTATTACGGATATGTTTACAGAACAACTCAGGGTAGTCGGTGCGGCCGTTGGTCAAGCACTTATTTTTCAGCAGCCCGCAACCAGAGTTGTTGCCCCACCACGACGGCTCCGCCATGTCGTAGTTAGCCTTGTACACACCCATGTCCTCAAATGCCGCAAGCGTCAATGCCGAGTAATGTATAGACGGGAACGTAGGAGCCATCAACTCACCCCGTGCGTTGCGTTCCTTCCAGTGGCTCAGCACCGCCCTTTTATCACCTATGTCCTCCAGCTCCATGCCCTCAAGTGTGGGGCAGTTGTAGTACTTCCTCGCCAGCTCCTTCACTTTCGGTGAAGAAATCACCCACACCTCCTTCTTCCCGCGCACATTGGAGACCTGGGAGAGCATATTGAACATCAAAAAGTGAACGCCCGAAAACCCAAGAACGTGCGCAATCTCGTGCGCTGCAGTGCGAACAGCTTCATGAGTGGCCTTTAAGTGCCTGGGGGTCAAAGTTCACGATACCAGCGCACGGGCGTCCGTCCTCCAGAAAGGCGCAGTAAGACGCCCATGCGGTAGCGCCGTTAGCCGGGAGAGCGTCGATGTAGAGCACCATGTCGGCGCCGCTCACGCCGATCGTGTGGTGCCAGGAAGGGATGTTTAAACCGGTGCACAACCCTAAATCTTTCTTTGGCATACGGATGGGATCCTGCATGGGCCTCACGTACAGACGCTCGGCGTGCAGCTTAATTGCGGCCGGGAGGAGTTGCTTCAAAATAATGTCCTTCTTCGCCTCCGTCAACATCATGTCCTCCGTGCATTCCTTCCAGCTGTTGCCGACCAGGCGCCAATGCTTCCCTGGGAGGCAGTGCTTCGACTGATCGTCCATGTCCTTCGCAGACACCTTGATGCGGATCGGGGCCCACTCACTCCCCACGCCTTGTGCGGCGACGGTGTACGCATGCATCTCGCCCTGTCCTCTGCGCGGCACGTCACGCACCACCGCAGTCGCCGGCGGCCCCCTCCTCATCATCTCGGCAAACCCGCAGCGGTGCTTCCGAGCGGGAGCGACGGCGAGGCACCCAGCGGTGCAACACACCAACAGCAGCAAAAACACCGCCAGTAGGAAAAACGGCGTGCTGCGGGGTGGCTGGCGCATCGCCCGAAGAAACTGCCCGTGTTGCTTCTGTTTGAACATCAGCAGCGGCATTATTGGTGGTGGCGCAGAGCCTTTGAGGCGGGGAAAAAAAAGAAAAAAAAGAACACAACGATAGTCACCGCCCGCGCCCCCAGCAGGCACCCCGCAAACAACAGCGACAATCCAAAACTGAGGCCGCACCGACAAACGCGTGGGCTGCACGATCGCACACTCGCCGCCGCCTGAAGAAACGCCCACACGCACGGAGAGTCCGCAGTGTGGGACGCCTCCCGCATAAATTTAAAATAATATAAAAAAACAAATTCATAAGCACCTCGCTTACCGTCTCCCCCGCCCAGCCCCTTCAAACCCCGCCAGCAGCAACACGCAGTGCGCATGCCGGTGAGACTTCCCATCACGGCCCCCACAAACTCCCCAACGCCGCCACTTCCCTCAGCGCACTGCAGCAGGAGTG